TGAAAATAAAATAATGGGAAAAGATATGTCATGCAAGTAGCAATGATAAGAAAGCTGGAGTGGCTTTGCAAGTATTGGACACAAGAGACTTGAAACGTAGCGATAATGAGGTTCGTTTTATGATGATAGCAAAACTGATCAAACTGCGGGGACCAGTAGACATTTCAACTGTCATAGCTGGAGACTTGAATATACCACTTCCAATAATGGAGAGAACAATTGTATGTGATCCACCGAGAATAGAAGACTTGGAAACACTGTGAACCCCTTGGACCTAAAGACTATGTATAGAACACTCTACACAGAAACAGCAGAAGACATATTCCTCTCAGGTGCACATGGAACATACTTTCAGATGGAAACTTAGCTTTGAAAAGTAAAAAGGATTGCAATGATACAAGGTATGTTTCCTGATCACAGTGGAATGAGAATTGAAGTAAAAAATGGAAAGCAATTTGGGAAACTCACATATATGTGGGAATCGACCAACACAGTCCTGAATAACCAAAGGGTCAAAGATAAAGTCACAAAGAAAGTCAGAAAATACTTTGAGATGAATGGAAATGAAGACACACTACACCAAAAGTGGTGGGACACAACCAATCAGTACTTAGAGAGAAATCTGTAGCCGTCCGCCATCACCACCAGCCATTTCTGAACCGTTTTCCCCTTGCAAAACTGAAACTCTCTACCCCTCACCCCTCTAACCCCGGCCCTTGGGAGCCATCATTCTCCCTTCTGCGCCTGCAAGTATGACTAATCCAAGAATGTCATGTAAGTGAAGTCGCGGTACTTTTCTTTATGTGACTGACTTATTTTACTGAGTAAGCTGCCCTTGAGGTTCATCCATGTGGAAGCAGGGGTCAGAGTCTCCTTGTTTTTGAAGCCTGAGTATATTCAAAACACCGCGTTTTGCTTCTGCACTCATGTCAGTGGACACGGGTTGTTTCTGCATTTTGGCCATGGTGAATAGCTTCTGGGAACATGGCATGCACTTCTCTCTTCAAGACCCTGCTTCCCAGTCCTTTTACATACCCAGAATTGGAACTGCAGGATCATGTGGTAATTCTATCATTTTTTTAGTGTTATGAAAGGATATGATGAAGGATGGGAATCAACAGCCAGATGGAATTGATGCACTGGGTGAGATAGGGGAGAAGGGTTTGGAACTTCGTGTCCCCTCCATGCACGTGACACAGGTTCACCAACCTAGAAGCTCCAATTTTTAATTTTTTGAGGACTCTCTTTTCCACAGCAGCTGTACCACTTTAGCTGACCGCCAACAGGGCAGGATAGTTCTGATATCTCTACATCCTTGCCAATACTGTTAGTTTCAGGTTTTTTGTTTTGTTTTTTAAATATAGTAGCCATCACAATGGCCATGAGCTGGTAGCTTGTTGTAGCTTTGATTTGCATTTCCCTGATGGGTGCCAGTAAACATCCTACATGTGCTTCCTGGCCATTTGATTGTACGCTTTAGAGAAATGTCTGTTTAAGTTCTCACAGTTTTAAATCGGGTTTTTTGTTTTCATGGCTGAGATTTAGGAGATCTCTACATTGTGACTATTAAGCACTTATCAGATGCGGGAGTTGCAATCACTCCCTGTTGTGGGGTGCCTTTTAACTGTGTGATCATGTCTTCCAAGGCACAAGACTTTCAAACTTTCATGAAGTCCAATTTGTGAGAATGACTGGTGTTTTAATTTCACTGAAATTCTCAACCTCTAGTTTTCAAGCTGGAGGGTATTTGGGAAAATGAACTGGTTTTCATCCCTGACGGCGAAAGAACCAGCGGTGATCACTCCTCTGAATTGATTGGAAACATATATTATAGTAAGGCAGTTATGGACTTGGGTTAGTGGCCTCGGACCCCGTCTACTGTGAGGCCTGACTCATATGAGATTACAAGTCCTAGAAGCCTTAAAAATGCTTTACCTGACTGCTTAGGGTGAATCCATGGCCAAAAAACTTGAGGACAAAAGTTGCCTTCTCTAAGCGCTGCCCTTCTGTGCTATTAAGTTCTACATGTCATTGACTGCTTCTAGATGTATGGAATGTTCATCTGTATAGTTATTGCTCAGCTTAGAATGAATGCCATCTAGAGTCTCAAAGCTCCCAGATGGTTTAGAACGTGGAACAGCGTAGCAGGAAGCACCCGAGTTGGAGGTGCGCAGGTCTGTGTTCAAATCCCACTGAGACACTTGTGTCTAATATTAGAGATACGCTGCTCAGCCTGTGGTTAAGTTCCCTAAGTGGGGTGCACCTGCTTCACCAGGCGGCTGTGAAGACCGAAAGAACACATGGAAAACACACACAGAGCTCTGCTTCCCAGGTGGGCACTAGCAACACAGCGCCCATTAGAAGCGGACTCTGCCATCTTTTGTGCAGGAAATACAAAGAAAACAAGTAGCACGGGTTACAACACATTTATTCACGCACCCTGTTGTGTGATCGGGAGGTGCTTCTCACTCCCAGTAATTGAATTAGGTTTTAACAGTTAAAATTCCAGAAGCCAAACTAGTAATTTATTGGTGTTCATGAGCATAAGTAAACAGACATGGTACCACATAAAGGAATTTTAAACACTTCTAACTTTTGGTATAGCTTTGAATATGGACCGGTATACTTTGGCAGTGGACTTAATAGATTTCTAATATGCTTCGAAATCCCACGGTTCTTTCAGACACAACAGGAAAAATTTGGATTTAACTCTGGAATCTTGAGGATCAGAGATTCTCAGGAAGCTGGAAAAGGCCAACATTACTTAAGCCTCTACTTACCGTGAATACAAATTAGTGTTATTAGAAAGAAAATGGTGGGCAGCGGTCAACAGATTGCTAGTTTCATTTTTTTAGATTGCTTTAGTATTTTTTGAAAAGAATTGACCTCAGATGGCGGACTATAGAAACTTGTTATTTCTGAGGAGTTTTAACTTCGTAACCTTCCTGGACTACTAGTTATAAAGTCTCAGGTCTCAAGAAATTGATGGCATTATCAGATCGGACTTTATGCGTTACGTATTAGAAATAGCTGGTTCCGAGAGAGACTGTGTTATACGGGCTGACTACTTTTCAGAATGCCTCTATTCCTGGCTTCAGATCGTACATCCATGATATTTTGAGAGGGTTGGATAAGTGCTAACAAATGGGTACTCACAGCTAGGGCGGGAGGGAAGAATGTGCTTATCACCAAGGATGAGATTTTATGTTACATTAAATTAAAATTCTCACTGTTGGGAACAGACAAGACCAGGAGTTCCTAGATCCTAGAAAATATTATGGCTAAGGAAATAGAGAACTCAGGGAAGGGATCCACCTCCAAGAAACTCTTTCAGTAAAACAGAATTAAGTGCCCTGTCTTAGGAAACAGTTCACTATTGATCAGGAAGTGGGACATCACACATCGTTTCTTTGGAGATTAAAGTGCAGGCTACGAAATGGCATAGAAAACAATGCATAAAATAGTGCAATTTCAAGGTGCCGTGGTGTCTGCTTCTTACACACAGCCTCTGATCCTATGTCCATCTTTTCTCAAAAAACAACAACAAAAAAAATCCAGCTATTGTGACACCTTTAGCTTATTTATTTAGGCATGACTCATACTGTTTTACCCACCTTCTGGGCTACATAGAATATTGCAACATTTTAACAAGTAGAATAATAGTGCATACACCTTCAAACTACTAAATAGAGATTAAGGCAAGCCCCTGTAAAGTTCGGTACTCCAGAAAACACGTTTTACCAAAAGAAAAAAACAAAACAAAACCCCAAAAACAAAAACAAAAAAACCAACCCAAAAAGCTCCTTCTAAGACCAGTGGCTTTAGACCAGATGGCATGCGAACGGTTTTTAAAACAGTGTGATTCATTACGGGGACTGCGTTTGCGTCTGCCCCATTATTTCCAGGCTCTGAAGAGCCAGAAAGGAGCTGAAAAAGCAGGAGGTTGAGTAACCTCAGGTCTTAAAAGACTTTGTATTTGGGATTAGGGGAAAACCGAGCCGAGTCCGTGCGGGAGAGACGCAGAGGGCCCTGGGTGGGTGAGGTGGGGGCAAGTCCCCATGGAACTGACTAACGCCTGTTCCCCTGGGTCTGTGTCATGGGTGCTGCGCCATCATCGACTGACGCGCCATCATCGACTGACAAGCGCGGTGACCCGCTAACACAGAGAAGTCTCCTCTGAGAAACAGCCAAGGACGAGGACCCGAATAACTCATGGCATCTCGCTCCAGGACAACATGACACTCACAGATGCCGCTGAAGCCACGGGTGTCTGATCCCGGGCAAGATGGTTCCCATCTGGGAGGCTCGTCTGCGGCGTTGCTGGGGTCTGTCAGTTTTAGCTGATGAAAATCCTTTGTGATCTGTCGAACCCTCAGTGCCACTCTGCTATCCAAAAGCAAGCGTAACAAGCTATCAAATCGGTCAAGGTCGTCGCCTGACATTTTTTTTAAGCAAGATGTCTTCGGTAAGATCGAAGACTTAAACAGCTAACTGAACCGTAGCGCTTTCTTCTACTCTTACGAACATTCGCGCATTCACAGGTAGAACTCATGGGCCTTACGGACAGACAGTTACAAGTGAATCTTGTAGAAATTTGGACTTTGAGACAGAAAATACCTTCCGATAGTGTGGACGCTTCCTACGAAAGCCAAGTACTCATGGTAACTAACAGAAGGCTCTACATACATTTAGGGTACGTAGGTGCAGTTTAAAAAGAAACCCAGGAAACTTGAAATAATTCAAGAACAACTGCTAATCATCTGAGGTTGTACCCCTTTGATGCGTAAGGATCCTACTCTATAAACCTGTAAACATGTTACCTGGTTACTCGAAAGAGTCTTCCTTTTACTGGGAAGGCAGACTATTCATGGCCATGAGTATCCCAGCAGGCCTGCTTCAGAGTTAGAACAATATGGCTAAATCCTAGGATTACAAAAATGACACCTGCCGAGAAAACGAGTTCCAGACGGGGACTTTTATGGATGACCTTGGCTGACAAATGTTTTTTGGAAATTGTTTATTTTAAAATTACCTTCCCAACAAACCATGAAAACACTTGGATGTTAGATGTTTTTTTTTTTTTTCTTCATTGAAAACATACTACATTGTAAATGGAGTTTCCAAGTCAGACAGAAAATTGATCAAAACCTAAGGACAGTATTATGGAAGGACAATATTAAAAATGGGTAAGAAAAAGCTTTGTTTGGTGAGATTAAAGGATGCATAACTGTGTCATGGTGGACAGGCAGAAAGGGTGGTAACCTTGTGCTTTTATTCAACTAAGGTACTTACCAAACCTTAGGTTTTTTGCAGGTGTCCAACTCCCACCTGGACAGGGGTAATTTTCTATATTACACCTAAACCTATTTTAAATAACTGAAGCCTACGGCAACAGCTGTTACGAGTTGATAAAAGAACTTATCAGTCAAATAATAACTACATAATTTAGTACATAAAATAAAACGAGGACAGTAAGAGCTGAAGGTCTCAAAAATATACAACTGGGGAAAGTAACCACTGTACACAATTTGGAGGTTGTTAAAGTGACCGCTTAGAAGGGTGAACAGTGCAAGACATGCTTTTCCAGTTATACGCTCAGAACAGGAGTGCAAACGAAATTAAAGCTTTTGTTTAAAGTTGTAGGAAAAGGAAAGCTTGAAATTAGTACTTAAAAGCTTCCCTCAGGTCATCCCCCAGAAATGAAATGATCGAAATGCTTTTTCATAGTTGGATTTTCTTCAGTGAGTTTTCTTTCAGTGGCAGAACTGCATCCTACAAGCTGGGTCCCCTGCTCACACCCGTGGTGATCACACGCTGATCCATGAACACACACGTGGTAAGGAAGGGCCACGACCAGTCCCCAGAGGTCCGACAATGACAGAGCCTGGCGTTTGGGGTTCTTGCCTTGGTTACTGTACCTGACCCCTACAGAGAACAGAGAAAGCGAAGGGCTTTAATGTTCCCTTGTTCCCCTAAAACTGGAGGACAAATGGACTAATTCCTCCCTGGAGGCAAGCTGCTGTGGCAGTGGAAGGTGTTAGGCGCTCAAATAAGCTAACGCTGCTCTAGAAGGTGGAGAAGTAGAGAAGTTCAAGGTCAATGCCAGTGCCAAGAGCTTTTTACGTGAGCTGACTAGGCGATGCGTGCATGCACCCATGCAAAATGCCGGGCGTGGCCCCAGAAGAGAACTGAAAACATGTGTAGAACAACTGGATAAGTCCCTTGCCAGTAGTTTATAAAAATATATAGTCAATCCTGTAGAGGCCCCTCTTACAGTCAACACTATGGAAGTCTGTTTTAGTTACCCATTACTTCGATACCAAAAAGCATTTACTACTTTTCAGACATTCCAGACAAAGGTCACTTATAACAAAAAGTCAACTTTTTTTTTTTTTTTTTTTAAACAAGATACTGTCCATTTAAAAAGTAGGTCTTTTCTTTCAAGTGAAACAGGACACTTTCTGTATTCAACTTAACTTCTAGTCTGTCCAGACTGGTTTGTTTCAGATCCTTCTGTAATGTGCATATATGCAGGAACAAATAAACTTACTTTTAAACGTTATCTGCACAGAAAAAAGTTAACTCCTCAAAACATGATAGGACAGGTCTGGTTAGTACAAATCTATTGCAAAGTAAAAAGACTCTGTGCATCGTTCAACCAGGAGAAGCGGGAGAAGACTGTCCCAACCGTGAGAGTTCAAGTTGAAGTCGTGTTCTGTCCAAAAGCCCAGAAGCCTCTGGGGTGTCCTGATGGGCGTCACTGCTTCGGCTGCTCAACTGCGTCTTCCTTTGGAGCTTGAAAGCCCCCCACCCCCAACTTTACTTTCTATTCCGAAGACGCTTCGATTTCCTAAGGGAGTCTATGGCTTCTGGTGCCTTCTTCCGTTTCCGAGGGGACTCCTCGTTCTGCCCAGCCCCTGAGGAGTTCCCCACCGCGCTCTCCATGACCTCCCGCAGTTTGCGCTCCAGCTCCGCCAAGCGTGCGTTCTGTTCGCCTATGATCTGGGTCTGCTCTAGCAGCTTCTGGTCCTGGTCCTGAAGCTGTTTCTGCTGCTCCTGCACTTTGGTGCGAAGCTCGGAAATTTCACGCCTGAGAACAGTCACGCCGGCACCGTTTGTCTTAACCTGCTGCTGGAGTTTGGTAACCTCTTGTCTTGAAGGGTTTTGCTTGGAGAAGAGCTGCATGGTTGTGAGGGCTGCAGAAGGTCCCGGAACTGCGGAGAAATGGTTTTAAATGGTCAATTAATCACTTAAAATGTCTCCCACTACTGGTAATACTTCATTAAACTTCTTTTGAAAAGGAACAGCCTTATAATATCACTTCTGATCATTTCCTCTTGGCAATCTACACCCGTCTTAACAGTAAATGAGTTTGAATTCTGATGGTTGGGTTCACGTGGCAAAGTATGGACTGCCGGGAAACGGACAAGGGCATTTAACGGAATAACCTTGTACTAACATAGTAGAAAACATTTTTAAGACCTACTAAGAAAACACAAGCAGTAAAATTAGAATAGGACTATTTTCTATCTTCTCTCACACAAGCAAATTTGAACATTTGAGTTAGAAGGCCTATCATGTTTTGAAGTTCTCTCCGCACTTAGTTCTATGCAACAGCTTCCATGTTAGCCAAACAGGAATACCACCAAAGAGTGGGTTTCGGCCCACATGATGATCATGAAGAATTTCCGATGTGATGTAGGAAGACGGCTTTGGAATCATTCTGTCTTAGGAATACTACAAAGGTAACATCGGCATAAAAATCACTATCATAAATAACCTCCCTTTAAAAAAATGTTATCTCTTAAAGGTTTTCTGAAAGGACTGGATGGATCCATTCCTACCCTAAACCCGCCACGACATACATATAAATAATATCTTCCTGGACGGATGCATTGTTCCTTCTCTCTCTGCTTACCTTTATTTAATTTCCACAAACACAGCAAGGCTTAGATCAATTCCTACCTCTTGTGAACTCTCAGTCAACAATGGTTCTAGCTTCCTTAAGATCCTGTCTCTGTTACTCATTTGGCATTTCAAAGGACCCTTCTTTAAAATGTTTCTCTTACCAGTGATAATTTAATTTCGAGTCTGGATATGTCTTACCTTTTGACATAGTAAGATCCTTGAGAGCAGACACCAAGTATTACACTTCCTTCCTTTTAGTCTCCACAGGACACAGTACAGTGCTGTGCGCGTAATAGGCACTCAATAAATAACTGATTAACGCTGAGATGCCACAGGCATTATGATTCAATTACAGCCAGCCGCTCGGTCACCCCACTGCGCACTCCAGGGAGATAACTCATCTGAACAGAACATGATGTCTTACTAAAAAAGGTTTTCCTGATTTAAACTATTTGTGAGAGTTGAAGATATTTTGAACAATTTTGTCTTTCAGTAGATAAGGGCACAAATCTCTCGGGTTGGATCTACTTCTGCAAAAGAGCTGCTAAAGAAGCAGCGGCAGGGCTCAAAGCAGCCTTACGTGGCCTGTCTTTTCAAGCAGTGGCCACTTTAGGGGACGAAATAATTAAGTGAATAATCTATGAAGAATTTTGGGGGTTTTATCTGGTATATTTCATTCTGTTTTAGCACCATGGATGTTAACTAGTCAGAAACATCAAAACAAAACAACAACAAAAGACACCCCACAAACCCCCCCAAACATATACATAGCTTTTTATCCAAAATTCTAAGTTATTGTATGTCAACAGTCATGGATATGTACAAAGATGCAGCCACTAGACTGTTCTTCAAAGTGTAGTTTAAATACTGCACAACGACAGACAAACATGCTCAACAGCAATGGATCGTTTACACAAGTGACGTCATTAAAAATCATGTTGCAGACACTATTTACAGACACAGGAAAGGTCACAATATACGACTAAGTGTGGGTGCGGGGAAGCAAGTTAGGGAACTGTGTATGAATGTTCCTTCACACTGAACATATCCACACGAGCTACCTGGAGGAGAGCCCATGAGCCTTCCGGACACGTCTGATCCTGGTAACTTCCTCTTCAGAATGGGCACGATCTTCTCATCAAAGTACTCCATCGCCATGGAGGAGATATCCCTTAGCTCTTGAAGTACTTCATGAGCTCGCTGAGGGGCTCTGGTGGAATTGACGTATCTCAACACTCGATAAATCTCATCAATCACCTACAATAAGGAGGTCTCATTAGCACTTTCGATTTTCTCTTTAAAAGAAAATGGCTCGACAGGGAGAGAGGAGACGATGCCGTCTATACCGCATGGCTTTGGGCTTGTCATAAGCCTTCATGTGTTTCATATGCACATTTATTAAGATTTTCTGCATCAGGTGCTGAGGCTAAGGAATCAGGATGAATAAAATACAACTCTTGCTCCAAAGGAAACCAGAGGGCAACAGACACGGAAATAAGTGGTAGGAAAAGGGACATACAAGCCGCTAGAGAAACCAGAGGACTGAACTATGACGCTGAATCCTGTCTGTGGAGAGGGCTAGAGGAATTGACCCAAATCCACTTCACTCCAGCCTGAGGGTTTCCCAAAGCCCCAGGAACCCAGACAGATTCCTGCTCTGGGACCAGGCACTCTGTCCTCGGAGCTTTCATTTCTCTTCAGACTTGCTATGGACTGGGATGAGGTCTCCTCGGATTCCCCTCTCCCACTATCAGCAAAGAGTAGTGAGAGGCCCCTTTTCGCTTTAAGGGTAACTGCAATGGGAAACACAGGCGTAACATACGTGGGGGAGAGAAAGTTCTGACCATCCTGGTTCCTAATCCTCTTGCTGGAATGGTAGCTGAACCTGCCTCAGCTCTAATCCCTACAACTGATACACTGTGCTCCTGTAAACTGACTTGTACCTTATCTTTACTGTTTTTGGTCTTTGAGGTAATAGTGTGAAAGCAAGGTCTCTCTCCATTTGCTCAAGTCTTCCATTAGGAAAGGTAACATGTTACAGTTAGATTACGTTAGTCAAGTGGAATAATCCATGTTTTCAATAAAATTAAAACCATTCTCTTAATTCTTTCCCAAAGTTATGAGCGAAGGACAGGATGAAGATGACCCACACAGCTTCTACCATTCAGAGGGACTGGTGGCACAATGTCATGTTAGGAAAACATGGTATCAACCCAATTTTCAAAATTATTTCACCCTCCAAATGGTTTTAATTACTTTCTGAAAATTACTTTAGCAGCAAGAATGTAAGGACATGATGAGTCTGGAGGTCTACTAGAGAGATCACAGGCCTTAGGCTGGTCCCTTAAAGTATTTCTAACAGTTCGTGATTTTTCTACTTCTCAGTAGATCATTCCTTCCATCTTTTTAATTTTTTTAAAGTTTTATTTATTCATTTTAATAATGTCTATATCCAACATGGGCCTCAAACCCAGGACCCAGGGATTACACACTCCATTGACTGAGCCAGCTGGGAGCCGTTGGTCACTCAAAGTTTTTATAGCTTTCAAATATGCTGCATGCTGAACTCCTCCTGAACCTGAGGTGATAATATTTTACAAAGTATAGTACTGACCCAAATATGATGCTTCTCTAATGCTCTAAGCTCATGTTAAAACTGGCACCACTGGGGTGCCTGGGTGGCTCAGTTGGTTAAGCCTCTGCCTTAAGCTTAAGCTCAGGTCATGGTCTCAGGGTCCTGGGATTGAGCCCTGCATTGGGCTCTATGCTCAGCGGGGAGCCTGCTTCCCCCTCTTTCTCTGCTTGCCTCTCTGCCTGCTTGTGATCTCTGTCAAACAGATAAATAAAATCTTAAAAAAAAAAAAAACACCCCAAAACCAGCACTGTAATAAATGACATACACAAACACGACTGAAGTATGTGGACTATTAAGAGAATTTCTATCTTGTGTAATCTAATATTGAGCAAAGTTCCTACTAGAAAACAGAACTTTGATGTCCTCATTTTTTCTCATATTCCATCTTTTTGTTCTACTTGAAATTTTCTTAACTTTCCCCTCTACCCCTTTTATTTAATTAAATGCCTTTTCTATATTTAAAAAATATAAGTGCACTTAAAAAAATTTCTGATTATTTCTATATGGCACGTGTTTGACTCTATCTCTAATGATTCTCTGTGTTCTGCTCCTATTTAAGAACCTCAGTCGTTAAGCATCTGCCTTCAGGTCAGGTCATGATCCCAGGGTCCTGGGATCAAGCCCCATATCAGGTTTCCTTCTCAGCCTGCTCGGAAGGAAGGTTGCTTCTCCCTCTTCCACTCCCCCACTTGTGTTCCCTCTCTTGCTCTGTGTGTGTGTGTGTGTGTGTGTCTCTGTCAAATCAATCAATCATTAAAAAAAAAACCCCAAAACACACAGACAGCTCACCAGAACCTCTGTGCTTAACCCAGAGGGCAGGTGGGGTGGGGTGTAGAGGAGAAGGGAGGGGTGGGGATGAGGGGAGGGGAGGGGCAGTGTGACAAGAAAGCAGGGGAGGGGAAGAGGGGAGCAGGGGGGGGGGTGATGACAAGGGGGGGGTGGGGGGGACACTGGGAAGGGGGATGGCTGCAAAAGTCAACGCAAGAACAGATTGATTTTTCTTCATTTTAAAGGTTCAGGGACTGTATATATTTATTTTGGGGCCAGCACAGTAAAAAGAAGAAATGTGCCCAAATAGAACTGATTCTAAGAATGTCTTCATATTAAAATCAATTTTAAAAGAAATAAAAAACACAACATTCTGGAAACATTCAATAAACTCAAAGAATATTTCTCAAAATAAGGGACCCATGTTCTTCAAAAGCAAAGGAAGCCCAGGAACTATTCCGCATTAAGGAGGTTACAGAGTCCAGCGTGACTGCAGACTGGGTTCTGGACTGAGAAAAAAGTCTCTAGGATGAGTATCACTATCAGCGGTGAAATGTGATGTGGGCTGTCAGTGAGAGAGGCCATCGTAGCAAACTCACATTTCCTGATTTGGTAACTGTGCTGCGGCTCAGTTAGAGAATGCCCTTATCTCAGGAACTACATCAGAATATTTAAGAATAAAGGGTCATGGTATCTCCACTATTCTGAAATGGTTCAGAAGAAATAAAACATAGAGAATAAAAGCAAACGGGACAGAAGGTGATAATGCGGGATCTGGATAAAAGACGTATGGGAGATCCTTGTACTATTCTTGCAATTTCTGTGCAAATGTGAAATTGCATCAAGACAAGAAGTTACCAGAAAAAAAGAAGAGACAGCAAAATGCCACACCTCTGTTCCTCCCGCCGCCTCCCTGGCCCAAACATGAAAAACCAACTAACAAAACCCAATTCTCGGATTTTTAGTTTGTTCAGGGAAATCCTGCCTTGTGACCCTGCATAATCATTCACACTGAAAATCCTGACTTTTGGGAACCACTGGGTTTCAGTGAGCACAGAAGCGTTATCAGAGCCACTGGTAAGGCCTTAATTAACAGGGTCTTACCCATGTTTTTCTTCACTATTCCATTTCCCAGAACCGTCAGTTGGCCTCTGTTCACTTGTGTGCTTCGGTATGTGTGAACTGCCAACACGGATGCTGAATTTTTTGTACAAAGTGTGACTTCTGTCAGAAGAGTTGAAAAATACCAATACAGTGGTCAGGGTCGGCAGCTGGGGCCCTACTGACCTGCAGCTGTTTCTGTTCCAATGTTTCACCGGAACACAGGCACATGCCTCTATTTCCCCCTGCTGTCCATGGCTGTTTCATGGAGCTGAGAGAGACCACGTGGCCTGCAAAGCCAGAGCTGCTTACTACCTGGCCCGTTATAGAAGGAGTTTCCTGATCTCGTTCCATGATCGACAGTGGCAAACTGCCAACCAGTCTGACTCTCTTTTAATGCCCTTGCGATCCGTACAGTCTCCCTGTCCAGAGACTCCATTTTAAACCCCTTCCGCGAGTAAGACCTGGTTTTTCACTCAGGAGGAGGGCAGTGACCTAGCTGTTTGGAGTTGGAGAGGGGACCTGTAGGTTTAAATCATTTTTAAGTACAGAGACGCGACCCACCCTCTCTCGTTAGTCCCACTCGCACTTGGAGCTTTCTAGAGGCCAGCTGTGCAGACCACGCTGCCTCCCAGCTCTCCCACGGCCCATCTAGGCTTTAACCTCCTCAGCTCTGCTAAACCAGCTACCACTTCTCGTGTACTTTCCAGCTTCCAGAATTTTGTTGCTGCTGCTCTCCTGACTTCACTCTCATGGGTCTCGGTCTTTTTTTCCTTTTTAAAACTAGCTCCTTTACTGTAAGAACAAGCTTTGGGAGGAATCTGAGGTAAACATGCATTTAATCTGCCATCTTTAACCTACCATTTGCTTTTAAGAGTAAATTTGATTGCTCTTTCAGAGAATATTTAATTTTGAGAGGCGGAGGGAATCTTAAGATGGCTCTGGGCTGAGAATGGAGCCTGACATGGGGCTCGATCCCATGACCCTGAGATCACGACCAGAGCTGAAATCAAGAGTTGGTCACTTAAGCGACTGAGCCACCCAGGCACCCCAGAGAACAACTTTAAAAATGCTTTTTGCCCAAGTGTTAGTTTAAAATTCCAAAATTCTGTATGTATCAGGCATTCTAATTTAAACTATAATGTTGATATTACCCAGGTTCACTTAAGTAGCCTGTGAAAGAGTAATCTGTGAATGAAATATTTACTATAGACATGAATTCTACCAAAACCATAAAAATGAGTTCTTTTATGAAGTATGAAAATTCCTGAATTTTTAAAAGTTTTTATTTTAAAGATTTACCCATTTGTCAGAGAGCGAGTGAGAGAAAAAGAGCACAAGCAGGGGGAGGGGCAGGCAGAGGGAGAAGCAGGCTCCCCACTGAGCAGGGAGCCTAATGCGGGACTCGATCCCCATACCCCAGGACCATGACCTGAGCTGAAGGCAGACGCTTAACCTACTGAGCCACCCAGATATCCCAAAAGTTCCTGAACTTTTAAGTAAAATCCAGAAGCAGGATCTGCGGGAACACAAGAATAACCTAATACAGAAACCTTGTACCAAATCAAGATTATAGGTTACAGTGAGAAAGAATTATTATTTTTTAAAGATCTTATTTATCTGTCAGAGAGAGAGGGAGCAGCAGGCAGAGGGAGAGGGTAAAGCAGACTCCCCGCACAGCAGGGAGCCGAATGCAAGGTTCAATCCCAGGACCCTGGGGTCATGACCTGAGCCGAAGGCAGATGCATAACCGAGGGAGCCACCAAGTGTCCCTGAGAATTATTTTATAGAATGTACTCATTTAGGCATGTGAGGATTAAATGCCATGTCCTTTGGTTCTGAAGACAGAATGTGAGGACTTTTAGGCTGAGAAGTACAAAAGGGGAGAAATAAAAAAACAACCCCAAATTACAAAGTGTGTTAGGTTGGCAGTTTCGTTTTTGTCTAAGCAAGCTAAAAAGTACCAGCTACATGAAAATAAAAAGTAACATTCTGGGTGGTGCCTGGCTGGCTTGGTCGGTCAGTAAAGCAGACAACTCTTGCTCTTGGGGTCATGAGTCTGAGCCCCATGTTGGGCTCAGAGATTACTTAAATTAAAAAAAAAGAAAAAGAAAAAGAAAAAAAAGTAGTATTCTAAGGATACACAGTGTTTGTTGTTTTAGGCAAAATATAAGCTATGAAGATGGCACTTTTAAGAAACAAAGTTATTCAAGACGAATCCAACAAAAATCATTTGTTTTTTGCGGGGGGGGGGTATTTTTCAGGTTTACAGGAGAAAACTTTGATGAGTTTTTGTGAAGACACAGGTCCTATTAAGGAAGAATCAGCAGGCTGGTGCGAAGCTTCTGTCAAACCCACCCGCCAGCTGAGCCCTGGTGTTCTTACTAAGGGTACAGGGACAGACCCTCCACTGCCGTGTGGAAAGGAAAGGAGGCCATGCACATGAATGTGCTCTGAGGACAGAAGTGTTTCCTGCATCTAGCATGAGCGCAGTGACGAGGGAGAGGGAGAGCGACGGGTCTGGGTTAAAGGTGGGCCTGAGCATGAAACTCCTCCTTGACCGCTGTGCCGCTGAGGGCCCAGGAAGGGCTGCAGTGAGGAGCTGACCCGAGCTGACGCCCAGGGGCGCCTGCCGAGCCTTGACACCTTAACATATTCTCCATGGCGCAGTGGTTTTGTTATTTTGATCCTAAAATTAACGTGAAGAGTCAATAGAAACTTGCAAAAAACCAGCAGGACTCAACTGGATTTATTTGTTCAGACAGTCAAGACCAGCATTCCAATCACATGACCCTGCTCACCCAGAAAGACCCGCCCCTTCTGTAAAGGTCAAGTACTAGGCATCTCAGCTCTGAGGCCCGTATGGACTGAGCACACACTACTCCACTCTCGTTCGTAATAACTGGCTGAAGTGTTTCTGAGGTTATGAAAACTCTAAGATGCTTCTCAAATATTGACATTCCTAACAATGAGATATGCAATAAAAACCACGAGGCAGCAGGAGACAACCTACACTAGTTCCATGAACTTCCCAGATCACTTGAGAGATGAGGCCTGTACATGAAATCTGGATGCAATATGGAGTAAGAATCAGAATCACTTTTTAAAATTAAGCACTCCACAGAAGAATTTGTAGCTAACAGGAGGCAAGTGAGATATACTGAAGAATATTTCAAATAAAATAAGAAACAGGATCCCTCTCCATAAACATCACAGAAAACTGAAAATGGAGGAAATACAGAATACTGCCCTTGTTAAGTATTTACGGAAATAACCAAAAGAGAACATTCCAGTTTTTGTAGGAACTGATTAGTTCCGACCATGAGGGAATCTTTTGCTAGCATCAGCTAAGTACCAAAAGGACCTTTCAATCCACCTCTGCCTCTTCCACATACGGTATGAAGAGACTTCATCTGAATTTACTCTCCATTCAGGAAGCAAGATACCACACGCACTGAGGCAGTATCTTGAGTAGCACGTTGTGAACTTGGGGACGGTAAATATGCCACGACAGACTGACTTCTGGGTTCAGCAGCACTACTCCTGTGCTGCTATCCAGTAACTGTCTATTCTCGCTGAATCTGGAAGTATTTAAATTGTCTTCATGAAACGCTTCTCACACAAAACAAAAACCAGCTTGTCGCTCCTACTCCACCTCCCCCAAATTAGAACAATCCTGAAGGCAGGGACAGTACCTGACTTGTTTGCTGTCGATCTTAAACAAAGAGTAAAAGCCCACAAATGTGTTTTTCAGCAGGAACTCCGTTTTCTCTTCCTATTTATGGAAAGAGTTTGTTAACTGGAGTTGAGGATGAATTCCTAACAAGCTTTTCTAAAGAACAGCAGAGCATCTACTGTGTGTTTCGCAATGAGACTTTTAAACATGAAGGTCATGTACGGTATGGACTTATTATCAGTTATTGCACAGAAACTAAACAAATCCATTCACAGAAACTCATTCCAGAGAGACGGGTACAATTCTGACATTTAAACAATTGCTTAACAATAATATAACTTTAAGTAGTGCACTCCAGCTGTTTTGGGAAAGAAGTTCTATTTTACCTTTCCTGGGATGAAGCAACAGAGATTGGAATCCACATACTTCATGAAAGTCATGTTTAACAGTGAGAGCCTTGTTTCCACAGCAGCAAGGATGTCTGCGTGACGAGCTAACGAGTGGTTTCTTCTTTCCGACTCCCTCCTAGAATAAGAAAAAAAAGCAAGCATGAAAGAAATATTGTGAACTAAATGGTAAGCAGTGAAAATGACTTCCTGGGACCTCTTTTTTCTTTTTTAAAAGATTTTATTTATTTGACAGACAGAGATCACAAGTAGGTGGAGAGGCAGGCAAAGAGAGAGGAGGAAGCAGGCTCCCCGCTGAGCAGAGAGCCTGATGTGGGGCTCGATCTTGGGACCCTAGGATCATGACCTGAGCAGAAAGCAGAGGCTTAACTCACTGAGTCACCCAGGCGCTCCCTTCCTGGGATTTCTAACAGTCTAATATTTACCTGTGAATTTGATACCTACAATTGGGTCATGATTTAACCGAAATCATCAATGAATGTCCAAAAATCCCTGCCAAGGACTAGTACTCACTGATAAATTATGGGGGCGGTGTGTGTGTGTGTGGGGGGGGAGTCCGTTTTTTTGGTGTGTTTTGCTGTATCAAGCCTAATGGCCATTGGAATAAAAAAAAAATCAGAGAAATGGAAGAATTACACAGGGACATGTGAACAGGGGACATATGTTTTTACCCATAAAATCAGCTCACTTAAACTTCTATATAAATTTTTTTTTCAACTGTTTATTTATTTTAGAGAGAGAAAGAGAGACAAAGAATGGGGGTAGGGGCAAGAGAAATTTTAAGCGGACTCCGCGCTAAGCGGGGAGCCTAACATGTGACTCAATCTCACGACCCTGAGATCACGATCTGATCCAAAACCAAAAGTTGGTGGCTTTACTGACTGAGCCACACAGGCGCCCCTAGCTCACTTACACTTTTCAAGTGTTACTGAAAAATACTTCACATACAAAATTCACTTTGGAGGTGTGTGACTTCATGATTTCTGGTATATTTAGAGTTGTGCACCCACCACCACCATTTAATTTCTCAACGTTTCATGATGACCACAAAATGAAAGCCCGTAACTATTACCAGTCACTCCCATTCCCTAGCCCTTGGCAACCACCGGTGTACTTTCTGCTTCTACAGATCTGCCTGTTGTGGATATGGCAGGTAACTGGAGTCATAGGATATGTGGCATTTTGGGTCCGTCCTTGTTCACGTAGCACAGCTCTCAGGGCTTATCTATGTTGGAGCGCGTATCCAGGACTCCATTCCTCTCCACTGCCTGCTGATATTCTGTCATACAGACATGGCATCATTCTGAGGACCTGATCATCAGGTGATGACTTCTGGGCTGTTTCCACTCTCTGGCTATTGTGAATAATGTGACACAGAACACTCACGTACGTTTTTGGCATGACTGTATTTCCATTTCTTTTGCTATATACCTAGGAGTGTAGGTATATAGCATGACTGTATTTCCATTTCTTTTGCTATATACCTAGGAGTGTAGGTATATAGCAAAAGAAATGAAAGTATGTACGGAAATGGAAATACATATATTCTATGTATATAGAATATACGCTGGGTCATTTGTTAATTCCGTGTTTAGTCTTTTGAGGAACAAAGCGTTTTCTAAAGGGCGGAACCACTTTACAATCCCACCAGTAATTTATGATGGTTCTGATTTGGCCACATCCTTTCCAACGTTTTTTTGGTCTTCTTTACTCTGGCCATCCTAGTGGGTGTTGTGTGCCATCTGTGTTTTGATCTGCAGTGCCACCGGCTGGGGACCGCTGAGGTTGAACACCCTGCCTATGCTTAGCCTTCAGCTTCTCCTCTTTGGAGAAATGGCTCTTCAAGTCCTCTGCCCACTTTTAAACTGGGTTCTGTGTCTTTTTTATTGTTGAGCTCTATGAGTTCCGCATACTACGTGCATCGAGGTCCCTCACTGGGTATTTGAGCTGTTAACTCTTTTCTCCCCTCGTGTGGGCTGTCCCTTCACCATCTTGAGGTCATCCTCTGCAGCGCAAGTTTAAATTCTGAGAAAGTCCAGCCTGCCTACTCTTTTGTTACTCGTGCTTTTAGTGTCATAGCAAAGAAACCACTGCCGAATCCAAGTCCATGGAGGTCAGTACTGTTTACAGTGGAGCCCTGACACTCACACTTCGACTATAGTCCACTTTGAGTTAGTTTTTATAGATGGTATGAGGAAGGGGCCCAACTCCATTCTTTTGTATACAGACACCCAGCTGTCCTAGCATCATTTGGGGAAAGCATTATTCTTTCCCCCATTGAGCTGTCTTGGCATCTGGCTTGAAAATCAGCTCACTACATATGTAAGGGTTTCTTGTTTATCCTCCTGGTTCCACTCCACCTATGCACCCGTCTGTCTTTGTGCCCGCACCACACTGGTTTGATTACGGCAGCTTTGCAGTAAGTTTTGATATTGGAAAGGTGCAGGACTCTGTCACCTTTGTTGATCTTTCTTAAGACTGTTTTGATTAGGGGCGCCTGGGTGGCTCAGTGGGTTAAAGCCTCTGCCTTCGGCTCAGGTCATGATCTCAGGGTCCTGGGATCGAGCCCTGCACTGGGCTCTCTGCTCAGCAGGGAGCCTGCTTCCCCCTCTCTGTCTGCTGGCCTCTCTGCCTACTTGTGATCTCTAGCTCTGTCAAATAAATAAATAAAATCTTAAAAAAAAAAAAAAGATGGTTTTGATTATTCTGAGTCATCTGTATTTCTATAGAACTGTAGGATGAGCCTGTCACTTTCCGCACAAACCACAGCTAGGATTTTGACAGGGCTTACACTGCATGTGCACAACCACTTGGGGAGAACTGCCACCTTCAGAACAAAAGTCTTCCCATTCAACACCATTTAAGTCTCTTTCTATTTCTTTTACCAATGTTTTGTGGTTTTCAGCAGACCAGTCTTCTTTTGTTATAGTCATTACTAAGTATCTTATTCTCCTTGATGGTATTATAAATGGAATTTTTTTTTTTTTTTAAAGTAAGCTCTATGCTCAACAACCCAGAGATCAAGAGTCCCATGTTCTTGTGGCTGAGCCAGCCAGGCCCCTGCCCCCCTTTTCTGAGTCTAGTTGACACACAGTGCTACACTAGTTTCAGGGTACAACACAGTGCTTCAGCATCTCTCTAACTTATGCCATGCTCATCCCAAGTGTAGCAGACAATGCTATTATTCCGCCAGGGACTATATTCCCTGTGTTGTACTTTCTATCCCCATGACTTTTTCATTCTATCACTGGAAGCCTGCGAAGATCCCACTCCGCTTCACCCACCCTGCCCATCCCTGCATCCTGCAGTTAACTTGTTTTTGGATCGTTGGTTGCGAACACATACAATTATGCAACTCCTTTTCGCGCACTGATCTTGCACCCTATATCCCTGCTGAGTTTTTATGAGCTCTAACAATTACAGGACTCCTTATGCATATGATTATGTATATAGGAGATCTTGTCACCTCTGAAGAGAGAAAACGACTTCCTCCTTTCCAATCTGGAAGCCTTTTATTTCATTTTCTTGCCAAACTGCCCTGGCTAGAACCTCCAGTATAATGTTCAACAGAAATGGTTAGAGTGGGCGAACCATAGTCAAAATCACTTACTGTGATTTAGGTCCCTTCCCTATAAAAACTTGGAAACCATTTAATATGTAAACTTACCCAAATTAAAAAAACAAACCCAAAACAACAGGGGTGCCCCATGTCGGGTAGAGCCATTACTTTAAAAACAAAAATCCAAAAAACCCCAACCAAGAAAGAGAAAGAAAATTCCCACTTGTAAATTATTGCCAGCACTAGGCACAACGTACCTTGGAAGTTGTGCTTTAACTTGTTTCTGACATAGATTGTGGTATCTCTCGACTTTTAGAAATCCCTGATTCAACATTCTCTGGCAGACCAAGTCCATTCTTTTACAAACCTACAGGGAGAAAGAAGGAAAAGGGAGAATTTTAACAGATAAAACCCAAATATATAACAGACAATTAACTTAGACTCCTGTTAGCTGAAAGTTCTCTGTGCCAGTACTGTTCTGCAGTTTGCTGTCTGAATCTCTAAATCAGTACACATGGTAATACGTGTGGTGTATACTGAGGTGAACCCCACCTGCTTTATAACTCTCATGGCATTATGTTAAGAAATTTATACTATGTGTAGGCAAGGAATTTTACTTTTATTTTAGGTATTGGTGGAATGTTCTAAATGTATCCCCACTATTATGGTCAGAAAATGTAGTCCTGAAGATCAATAAAACAACATATTCAAAAAGTTTTTAATGGTTTGAAAAAAGAAAGTTCTCCAGTAGCTCAAAATGTGTATTCAAACTGAAGCCCAACCTCTCATAAAGTTTATGTGAGCTATAACCAGAATGAGAATTCTTACTTATTTCTATAAGCCAGGATTAACTACGGAAAGTTACTAAATACTGTCCTGTCTCCCATAATATCAAATATTTTAACATATGTAGCAGAACCTCGACTATTTTGAATCCTTAAGGAAAACTATGTTTTTATACAGTAAAAGCACAGGACCGGAAGTCCAACACCTGAATTTCAACGTAACTTTTATGTATTCTTGAGCAAGTCAGCTCAATAAAGCTGGAGCCAGCCTTCTGTACAATTGGATAGTACCTAACTCACAGAGGTAGCTTTAGGATTAAATGAAACAATACACACTAAAATCACTCTGATAAACTCTAAAGTACTCTGTAAAAATTATGTTAAATTGTTTAACTTAGTACTAACTGGAAAATGTTGCTCCAGAGATGCCGTATTTCTGAGAAATGCAGCATCTTTGTTATCTTAATAAAACCTGGGGCACAAAATCCTTTTGTTCTTCCATCCCTGAGGATTTTGCAGTGACTCGGAGGCATCACCTTGAATGTCAGTTCCCACTGTATAGGTGTGGATATTTAAAGTGCAAGACATTGAAATAAATCTAGATCAAGGCCAAGGCGATTAGGCGGGGGCTGTCCTATGCTTCTCTCTCTCATAGCACCCGGCACAAATGCTTGACAAATACTTGCTGAAACTGAAATGTTTGTTTTCTCTGAGAATACACAGACAAAAATTCTGGCAAACTGGATTGAAGCTAACGAAAGCTGTAATACTTATTACTTATTAACGAAAGCTTTAATACTAGAGTATTAAACACTATGTAGTTCTGAAATCAGAACACACTAAATGAAAGGTATTAAGGAAAACACTTCTTTTCCATTTGAAAATAAATAAAAACAACAAATTTTAAGTAATGAAACTAAGAGTAATTCCTAGTTATATTTTAGAATATGGTGGGATCTATTTCTAACTAAACCAAACCAGCTGTCAACAGTCAACATATGGTCAGTGTCTATTAAAAAATAACATTAATAGGGACGCCTGGGTGGCTCAGTGGGTTAAAGCCTCTGCCTTCAGCTCAGGTCATGATCCCGGGGTCATGGGATCGAGCCCCGCATCGGGCTCTCTGCTCAGCAGGGATCCTGCTTCCTCCTCTCTCTCTGCCTGCCTCTCTGCCTACTTGTAATCTCTTTCAAACAAATAAATAAATAAATCTTAAAAAAAAAGACATTAATAAAACCAATACATATAAACATAAATACATGTTAAAGTTTATTTATGTTTTTTAGTAATCTCCACACCCATCCTGGGACTCGAACCCATGACCCTGAGACCAAGAGTTGCACACTCCTCTGCCTGAGCCAGCCAGGTGCCCCAGTATAAATAACTTTTAAAGGAAAAATAACTCTTCAGAAAAAAAAGTATTTAGAGTTACATTTTTTGCAAATCTCTTTGATATGTGGTTTTATAGAACAGAAATAAACTGCCATATCTGCTTCTGTATCCAGTCTACTGAAGTATTACCTTAGACAGTTCGAGAAAGCACACAAGCACACATTTCATGAGTTATCTGTATGCTGACATCACATGTCACAGAGCTCCTGGAAAGCTCCACTGTCTACTTGTGAAAGGCAGAAATAACAACTTAAAACTATAATGAAAAGACTTCAGATCTTACAGACTCCCTGAAAGGGCCTTGGGGACTGCTCTGGGAGCCCAAGACTAAACCTTAAGAACCACTGTCCCACTCCTAAATAAACATTGTCACGAGTACTGGTACTGAGACTTTAGGTGAAATAAATATATATATATATATATGATCTACTTTTACTTTATTTTGTTTTTGTGCTGTTGGTCATTGTTTACTGAACACCCAGGAAAGAAAGAATACCAAATTAAATGCTGTTCTTTTCTTACAATATTGATTAATGCTTAAAATATTTTTGACCTCAGCTTTTGTGGTGCTGTTCTCATTTGTCTGTCTTTGTGACCTCCTGTTTTCCCAAAACTGATGGGAAGAAATTTTACTTTACTAGTTATTAAAATAGAAAAAAAAAATCCTAGCAATCTGGTCATTTATCCAAGACAGTAAAATAAAATTCTGGACTCTAATATACCAAGATGATGACTATGTCAAAAACGATCATGGCATTCAGAGATCAGCACAAATAGATACTTATCAACATACCAGGGAGCTCACAGAATACTAGTCTCCAGCGGAGACATTCAGTTTGGGCTCCTCTGTTACTGCTGTTCTAGTTAGAAGAGATGTGGTTTTTCTTTAATTATTTGAAGAGTTAAACTGCCATGTTTATCCTCTTCCATCATTTGCTAACCTAAGTAGTAATGAAATATTTTGTTCACTTTGTCTAGGAATCTTTTTTGATTTCTTGTGCCACCATGGTCCTACTTAACGACGCAAGACACTTATGCCATAGATTCGTGAAACCTGTAATTTTCCTGTGAAACCTAATCTTAGCGTCAAATCTCAGTTGATTCTAAGATGCACATCTTTCCAGATTTTAACATTTGACATCGGAGTGGTCTTACAATAACTGGCAGCATTTCTTTTTCAGAGGGCTGACAGGCTACGAAATATAAAAGGGTGGACTTCTTTGATTTTGTTTAAGATGCTGCAGAGACTTTAAGACATCACCAAATTCAATAAAAGCCCTTTGGAGAGGGGTGGGGAAGCACTGTCAGAATATACATACAAATTGATCAAGATGCATTCTGATTTCAAAAATCCTAAAACACGAAACTGTATCTTAGAATCCAGGAAAGGTTGTAATGGATTCGGATTTTTCATGTCCTTATTTAGTGCTCTACAGTTCTCAAATGAATTGAATACTTGATGCTTTTCTCCAATTAATCCAGAAGCTACTATCAAAGATTAGGCCACTTACCAATAACCCTCAAATTGGAAAGAACTTAAGACACCAGAAACTTTCCTTTCTTTTTACAGTGAGAACATGGAGGCCTTAAGAAATTATGTAATGTGTACAAAGTCAAACTACGCAGTGGCAAAAATGAAATTAAGAATTCAGGCTTCTAATTAGTATCTTTTTAAATTTAGTGATCTGCAGCTCTACAGAGTGAAATAATTATCCTAACAATTCTCAACTGATTGGTCTCAACTAACACTCTGCTGCTACAGAAAATGTTGGCACAAGTCTCAAGTAGGACTTCCCGAGGCAATATGAGATTTTAAGGACATTAGGGGTGTTCTCACCACACTGCTAAAGTTTAGAGAGATGGTGCTAGTCTATATCTTTCTAGAATTCTTTCAAAGTTCAAAAATCAGAAGTCAATTATGAGGAAACAATGAGACAAATATGCACTGTAGAACATTTTATAAGCCATCTGCCCTGATTCTTCGAAAAGCCAACTGCACGAAGAATGAAAAAAGTAGGGAGAATGTTCTAGATTAAAAAGACAAATGTGTTACTAGATTCAAAAGCCTTACCCCCCACCAAAAAAAAGCTCTAAGGACATTTTGGGGATAACTGAGAAATCAGAATATAAAATGTAATGTTAAATCCCTGGGAAGTGATAATACCATGATTACACAAGGGACAAAATGTCATTATATTTGCATTTTATTTTCAAATAGTTTAATGAAATAATCTGTGTGAAGGACATACAACACACACATTTAGAGAGGGAAAGAATGAGCATGTAAGTGAAACAGATAGAGCAGATGTGGCAAAAAGTTAATGATGAGTGATAAAATCACTTAAAATTCTGTCTATGTGATATGGATTGTCTAATATATAATACCATATACAGAGAGACACAGAATTAATTATCTGTAGGTAGAATTACAACAAATTTTAAGACTCTGAACTATAGGAAACAAACCAAGGGTTGCTGGAGGGAATGTGGGGGGGATGGGGTAACTGGGTGATGGAATTAAGGAGGGCACTTTATGGAATGAGCACTGGGTGTTATATGCAAACTGACGAATCACTAAATTCTACTCCTGAAACTAATAATATAGTATATGTTAACTCAATAGAATTTAAATCAAAAAATTAAAAAAAAAAAAAGAATTACAACAAATTTTAAATTATCTGGGTATCCTCCTTAGATGTTCATTTGGAAAGAAAATGTAAATTTATTTTATTTTTAAAGGTTTTTAATTATTTATTTGAGAGAGAGTCAGAGTGAGAGAGATCACAAAGAGAGAGGGAGAAGCAGACTCACCACTTAGCAGACAGCCTGATGCTTGATCCCAGGACCCTGAGATCAGGACCCAACCCAAAAGCAGACACTTAACTGACTGAGCCACCCAGGTGTTCCTAAAAATTTATTTTAATATTAGCCTGAGCAAAACAATTAGGAAGAAAAGCCTGTTTCCAGGATTTCTATAATACAGCCTAGAAGCCAAATAGAACCGCTTTTCTGATTATTCTGGTTTTCACTATCTGTAGCATCATTCTCTTCATTAATACAGGAATGGAGGGTTGCTTACAATGGAGCCTGATGCGGGGCGCCTGGGTGGCTCGTGGGTTAAGCCTCTGCCTTAGGCAGTTCATGAATTCAAGGTCCTGGGATGGAGCCCTGCATTGGGCTCTCTGCTCAG